TGGGCCTTTACTAATGGGCCTAATCTTGTTTATGTCTTAAGTCTTCTGGGTGTCCCATCACTAATCAGGGGTATCCCAGTAATTTCCTGTACTTTGTACTTCACTTATATATATAAATAAAGGCATGGTCGACTGGAAGTACAGTTCGACATTTCAGTATCTCTTCTTCTTCTCCTCTTCTCTGCTACTTCGACTACAGTGGTTCAGCTTTCAGTCTAAATTCTGGTAATATCAAGACCCACTCTGCAACAGATTTGCTAATTGCCACCACTATCCTGTCCAATGTCCAAGTTTTGTTTTCAAAAATTCTTTTATTTATTTCCTTCCAGATGTTCCAGCATATTTAAATGGGATGAAATTCTAAATTATTCTTTCTATCCTGCTTCCTCTTATCTTTGGCCAAGAAGAAAAAATTTCTGCAGATGTTCTTGGTTGAAAATCTTGTACCCCAGACATAGCTGTGAACAGTCTCCAAATAAAACCAGAAATCTTGTAGGAGAGAAACAAATGGCAAATAGTTTCCTCCTGGTCTTTTTATAGGAAGCACATGTTATCCATGTTGAAGCCTCTCAATTTCAGGTGGTCCACAGTTAGAATGCTGTCCCTTGCTGCAAGCCATGCAAATGGCCATCTTGTTATCTGGAATTTCTTTGTATTTTTATGCCAGATATGCTAATTAGTCTATGGTTTTGATTTTTGAGTGTATCTTGGGAATTTATGGTTTTCTCCTAATAAATGTTCTAGACTCTAATTTGTGCCATCTATCCCTTTCTAGGATATGATTCTGGTGAGAAGAAGCGCATCCCTGCCTGGTGTGATAGGGTATTATACCGTGATAATCGATCGACTACAGCATCTGAGTGCAATTTACAGTGTCCTGTAGTTGCTTCTATTATACAGTACGTTTCTTTGTAGTATTGCTTCATAGTCAATGATTTTAATCTTATTTTATAAGATTTGAAATATCCATTTTTATCAGGTATGAAGCTTGCATGGATGTCACAGACAGTGATCACAAGCCAGTTCGTTGCATATTTAATATTGATATTGCCCGTATGGATGAGTCAATAAAGAGACAAGAGTTCGGAGATATCATCAAATCTAATGAGAAAATCAGGGCCTTGATTGAAGAATTATGTGTTGCTCCTGAGACTATTGTTAGCACAGACAACATAATCCTTCAAAACCAGGACACATCCCTTCTAAAAATCACCAACAAATGTGCAGATGACAAAGCTTTGTTTGAAATTATTTGTGAAGGCCAGTCAACTGCGGAGGATGGTAAAGCTGTTGAATATCGTGCAAGAGGTTCCCATGGCTTTCCCCGCTGGCTTGAGGTAACTTTGCTTGCTTTTTTGTCTGAATATATTTATGATCATTTCATAGTGCACTCCATATTTTTGTATATTATATACCTAATGATGTTTATATTTTTAACAAGTAGTGGAAATTTTCTTCATAAGAAAAAAATGGAATTACCGAGTACTAGTATGGACTATGGAACAATGAGATAAGAGCATGTGTGTGGAAAGTGGCTATACGTTATTACCACTTGCAGATGTTTTTTCTATCAATATTATCAGTTGTGAATATTGTTCTAAATATGCAAAGAAAGAAGAGTAGAGAAGAGATGAAAGAAAAGAGGGAAATGAATGATCTGTGAACTTCGATGAGTCAGTGTACTAAGAGATCTCTTTTATATTAAAACTGAGGAAAGGAAAAAATGCCCCTAATTAGGCAACTACACAAATAGCGTTGTTTTAACACTCCCGCCAATCTGACCGGTGATATTAATCATGACCAACTTACCCAATAAATCAGTAAGCTTTGATTTAACCACTCTTTTCACAAGTTCATTAGCAAGTTGACATTCAGATTTTACAAGGTAAGCGTATTTTTCTTTTTCTATACAAAACTTTTTTCCTTGATAAAATTCCTATCCACCTCAATATGCTAAATGTGGTTGCACTGAACAGGATTGTTAGTTATTTGGGTATTTATAATGAACAAGTGAAAAAGGACTCAAGTGTCTCTTATGTTCCCTTGAAACAAAGAGCACTCTATGATGCTTACTAAATCGACACAATTCACACTCTAAATTTGTAACTGACCCTAAAGGAAGAACCAACTTCTTGTAGACTTAGAGAGATGGATGACCATAGTGGCAATGCCACTAGTGAGGAGTAAGGGATGAATGAAGAGCTTTCTGTGAACCACCATCATATAGATAATATAGTCCTCCAATTTCTTGCCCTCCACCAATCGTCTTTCCCATATTGAGATCCTGAAAAACACAAGAAGGATAAAATGAGTCTGAGCAACTAGGGGATTTAGTTAGCTTACAAACAACAGACTAAAGGGAAATTTGGGCACACATAACACAAAAGATAAGGTAAGATTAGAATTAATGGACACATTACTAATACTATTATACTAGTGGAGGAGGTAGTATCATCAACCAAGGTGACACTCTGATATGGAGGGAGGAGATAATGACAAACAAATTTGGAGACCTAGTTGTGTGGTCTAAAACTCCAGAATCTACTACCCTAAGGTGCAGACTTAGGACGGGAGGCTAAACAAGCTATACCTAATTTAGCAAGGGTAGCAGTAATGCTGGAAGAAGAAGATTGCCGAAGCTTCTCATACTCATCACATGTTATAGGTACTAATTCCTTCTCCTTCCCACCTCTCATCTCCAACTGCAGCATGGTTAGCCCAAGTGGATGGTGGCCCATACAAATCATCACAAAAGTTAACCATATCTCCTTGACAGCCATAGTGATTACATTCACACACCAACCCATGTCCATCACTCTACTTCTGCCACGAGTCATAGCAGTTCCTCTCCACCACCACCACTACGATCACCTATGGAACCACGACCAACACCTCTCATAGCACCTTTGCCCTGTACGCCCTCTATCAGCACCTCCTCCTCTATTAATAGCCAAAGCCAACCTCTTTGATGTAGGGGTGTTCTCATTATATGGATTGGAGATTCTTCTAATATGGGAGAAGAGGGATGAGATATCACTGCTACCCAAAATTTGTTGTTGTTGTACCTTCAAATATGTAGAAAGGGGCTGGTATACATTCAACTCATTCCGTAAATATTTTAGGGCTGAATAGTATTCCTCCACAGTATTTTAACCTTGTTGAAGGAAAATAATCTTGATACAGCTGATATATCATTATCATATTATCTTGACCAGAACAAAGTTGCTTCACATGATCCCAAATTTCTTTATTCGTATCTATGAACATAAGATTAACACTGATGATGTCTCCATGTTATTTCGTAGCCAAGTCATAATCCATGCATCCAATCATTATATCTGTAGAGGAGATGGGCCGAATGGCCCATAGCCCACTGTTGTTATTTCTTCTTTTTTCTTCTGTTTTGTTTTGTTAATGGACCTGTTAACATCATTTTTATTTTGCTTAATTAACTGGCCACCCAATTAAGGGCTTACTTGTAATTTCTGAAAATTAGTGATTAATTTTTTAATGAAAGGATTAGGGGAAGGAGGGATAGTATGAACAACTCTTCTCCTCACCCTTCTCACAACTGAACTCTTCTTCTTCTTGCTGCTGCTATCTGCTTTGTTTTTCTCCTTCTTTTAATCAGTTTTCTTGTTCTTTTGGGACTGTTTTTCTTCTTGGTACCAGAGCAGGTCCCTTTTTTCTTTCCCTTTTTTTCTTTTTTTTTCCCATACATAGTGTGTATGGAGAGCTGAATCAAATGATTGATTGAAAAAGATATTCAGCCCAGTTGGTAGTGGTTTCATGGAGAAAAAGGAAGATATCCTTCTCATCTTTTTAACAGTTTTTTGTTTTTTTGCCCAAAAACCCTAATCAACTGGAGAGTTCTGATTGCGGGTCTCATAGGAAGCTTCACCTTGGCGCTTGGTGGGTGAAGGGGCTCTTTTTGATTACCTTGAAGATCAATTCAAGCTTTGCACAGTTCTGTGAAGCCTATAGGGAGTGGCTGCCTTTTTTCTATTTCTCCCGGGTTCCGGGTGAGACACAGTTGGTTGTTAGGGATCTGTGAAGGTTGGTACTTGGTGTCTGTTATTTCCTGTCTTCTTTATTTGTCATCTGAAACCGTTTTAGGAGTTGTTTAAGGAAGATGGATGCTTCTGGAGTTGAAAATAAGTGGCTCTCAGAGTCTGGACAGGTTCTAGGAACACTTGTAGACTCTATTGGCTATGACCACAGTCAAGCTTGATGGGACTAACTATCTAGCATGGTCACAATCAATAAAGATACATGTTTGTAGTAGAGGCAAGTGGGCATATATTTCCGGGAGCAAGAAAGCACCAAAGGAAGATGACTAAGGCAGGGGAGAAACCTTTAGTAGTCTACTTCTCAATGCTGAAATCCTTGTGGCAAGAGAGAGATCTCATGGAAACAGTTGTATGGGAAAGTACAAATGATGCAGAGACATATAGAAAATTAGTTGAGAGGAATAGGGTTTTCGAATTCCTGACAGGGTTGAATCCAGAATTTGATATTACCAGATAGAATATCCTAGCTAAAGACAATGTATCTTTGTCTTTAGCTTATGCCATGGTGAGCAGTGAGGAGAACAAGAGGATGGTTCAGGTTCAAGGGACTATTCCAATTGACCATTTTTCTAATATGGGGTTGAAACCTAAGATGATTACAGGTGATATAGGGAAGGAGGTTATATGTGAATACTGTAAGAAACCAAGACATACAAAGGATAAATGTTGGAAGCTACAGACTTTATTCCATCCCGTTTTCAAAAGAAGGTCGAAAATGGGAAGATCGGGAGTGCCAATGCAGCCATAGTGTCAGATAATGACAGGAGTGTCACAGATGAGAAAGATGCTAGTGAGCAGTTAGCTGTTATGAAGGTAGAGTATGAGAATTATGGGAGGATGATCAGCCACCTTGAGAGTGCAGCCACCTCCTCCAACTCTTCAAGCAATCCAACTACGTCTGCATTTTCTCATTTAGGTATACGTGCTACTGCCAACCATGCAGCCATCTCAGGTAATCGTAGGATCCCTTGGATTATTAATTCAGGTGCTTCTGATCATATGATTTCTACTATGTTTAGCAATTATGACTTAATTTCTGGCCATGATAAGATTACCCTAGTCGATCGCTCTCTTGCTCCTATCTCTGGCAAGGGAGTCATCAAGGCCATTGACTCCCTTTCCCTTACTCCTGTCCTTCATGTCCCTAAACTGCATACTAATTTGATGTCAGTGAGTAGCCTAACTAAATCCTTAAACTACAGTGTGTAGCCTAACTAAATCCTTAAACTACAATGTGTAACCTTCTTCCCTTCTTAATGTGTTTTTCAGGACATGAAGTCTCTGAAAGTGATTGGGAGTGGCCATGAGGCGAATGGAATATATCCGCTAGATGCTCTTGGACAAAGCCAAGGACAGCCTGAAAGAATTGCTTTTGGATCTACTTCTTCAGAGTCTTTTAGTCGTGTCATATTATGTCATTTTCATTTGGGCCATTTATCCTTTTCTGCTTTGAGTCATTTATTCCCAAAGTTATTTACGGGAATTAACTTGTCTAGTCTTCATTGTGAGTCATGTGAGTTATCAAAACATTGTAGAAGCACTTATCCTTTAAGTAATAAGAGATCCACTTTTCCTTTTCATATCGTGCACTCTGATGTGTGGAGGTCATACCACTTGCCTTCTATGGGTGGTTATCGATGTTTTATCTTGTTCATTGATGATTTTTCTCGGTGTACTTGGTTATTTTTTATGAGATCTTGTGACGAAGTTCCCAAGCTTGTAAGACAATTTTATGAATTTGTTCTTACCCAGATTGATACAAGAATCAAGATATTTAGGTCTGGTAATGCAAAAAAAATACTTTGAGAAAAACCTAACCTCTTATCTCATTGACTTTGTGGTCATCCACCCAATCTCTTGTGTTCGCACTTCGGACTCCGGAACAAAATAGAGTAGTTGAGAGGAAGAATCGTCACATAGCTGAAGTTGCAAGAAGCATTTTGTTTGCCTCACATGTTCCTACAAAGTTCTGGGGAGATGTTGTTCTCACTGCAACATACCTAACCAATCGTATGCCATCCATAGTTTTGGGCTTTAAGTCTCCTTTTAATCTTCTTTGTCCAGATAAGGAACTTTTTTCTCTTCCCTTCGTGTCTTTGGCTACACCTGTTATGTACACATTTCTAGTACCCAGAGACATAAATTTGAACCAGAGGCCCATAAGTGCATTTTTCTTGGTTATGCCTCCACATAGAAGGGTTATTGCTGTTTTAATCCTAGTAGTGGGACTTGTTATGTCTCAATGGATGTCACTTTTGCTGAGGCCA